AAGAGACACCTGATCGGGAGCCTTTTGGGTTCTGGCAACAAAGGCAAGCATTTGGGCTTTGTTTACTATGCTCAGAGGACAGCTGCAATTTCAAGTTCATTATCTTCTCAGAGCAGCTGACCTTTGCTAAAAATAGGTCCTCTTGGGTTTTGACTTAAATAAATGCAGTATCTCCACTTAGTTCATCATGGATAGACAAGAGTTGCTGAGGAATCTGTGGAAGCCACAGCGCCAACTGCTATACAACCAACATGGAGATTATTCCTTAAGTTCTTAGGGCTTGGGGAGTGGTTGGTTGGGTTGTTTTGGGGGTTTTTTTTAAGACTACAAGCAGAGTTCTTCTCAAATTTATAGTTAATACATTTGTCACAGACCATAAGTAGCAAAGCAAATTGTGCACATTCCTCGCGGGTAAATTTGACAACAGAGAGAAGTCATTATTCCGAGTATAATAAAAACATGAAATAAACTATCCACGTGTAATTATCCCACTTAATGACAGGATAAATCAAAATATGATGCCTGTATGTTGGTTAATGCTTTACTTAAGAATTCTGAACCTATACAGCCATACCGGTATTTCACACCTACCTCTGTATCATCTACCTCATTTTCTTCTGACAGGTTAGGAATTTCAACAGATCCCTTATGTTTCTCACCAGACTCTTTCACTGTACCTGTATTAACATAACGAATTCTTAAATGCATTATTAAAAACTATTTCCCCCATAGCAAGACTTTTATGCTTGGAAATGAGCTGTACACAAGTGTTACTTGAAGGGAGTTGCCTCGAGGCTGATTGAAAGGCACTAAACAGCAACCTGAAGTCTCAGAGGTGTTTTCCAAGTGCTTTCCCAGGGAGCTCTGACATCTGCCAGCATAGGATGTGCATCTAAAGGGGGATGACCTACACAGCTCCATGAACTGTCCTGGGATGCTCTGCCTGAAAAGACTGAATTTAAGGTCTGATGCTTTTTTCGTTACACTGAAGTCTCTCCCCCCTTTGCCTTGCAAAAACATTTCATTGTTGAAATCAACTCACTATTTAGATCATGATAAAATCTCCTTAGGAAGCAACAGCAGAAACGTGCAGGTTTATCAGCCCACTGTCAAAACATACAAAACCCCAGCAAGATGCTTCATCAGCCCGCTGGCAAAACTCCAAATACAACCAACCCAGTGCTGAGCACAACTGCAGAGGGGGAATTACCATGAGGTAAATGCAGTATTTCTTTGGATTCTCTCACCTTCACAGGAGCCAGCTCGATCCAGCTACTACTTAATATCACTCCCATTATTTTTAATCACTTGCCCTGAAAGGACCACCGTGTGATCCCGGGGCACTGCAGGGGCAGAACCCCACGTGCTGCTGGTCGAGATCACAGCAAGGACACAACCAAATGCTCAGGTGTTTCTTGGCAAGGAACACAGTGAAGGACTGTTGGCAACACAAAGGGCAAAGATCCCTCCCCAGTCGGGCTCTGAGGCAACGAAGGATTGCACAAGATGCAAAGTCTGTTAATCCACAAACAGCCACATCCACGCAGGGAAAGGCTCAGCTAGACAGGAGAACCTGGCAGCTCCACTAAAAGCCATGCAAACTAGTTAAGTCTCAGCCCTAAAACACTTCTGGGCCCACCAAATCACACCCAGCCTCCTCAGTGTGCTCTTCCCTGCTCCCTTCCAGCACCAGGATTAGTACAGGAGAACCACACAGTGCTGTCCCTGCAGACAGCAAAGCCAATCTTATTTTTGGCTGCTCTCCCCAGAAAGGAAGTGCAAGCAAGCAGGAAGAAGTTTTGCTCCTCAAAACACTAAACCTGACTTCTATCCACCCAGCTAATCCTATTAACAACTTTCACAGCTCCCAAAATATTCACAAATAGCACAGTTACAGGGTCTGTGCTGGGCAGCAAAGTCCAGTCAGTGAACAAACAGAGCTGTTGGCCAACATGACGTGGGCAGAGCGTTGGTGCAGCTCTGCATTTCTAATGACACTGTAATGTAAACAAAGCTTTATTACCTTCTTATCAAACTATTAAATTACTTGTTTGAATCCCATGGGACTTCAATAACAGGCCTAAGAAGAAATTATTTTTTCTTTCCTGCCAATCCATTATTTTAGAACGTGAACTGTGAAGCACATCACTCAGAAAGATCCACTGGTGAAATAAATTGCTTTAAAAGGACAAACATGTTTTCATAAAGCTTCCACCACAATGTAGAATAATCCATTAAAATCCTCACTGCATATTCTAACAAATGACAGAACAGCCATTTTGCTCAATTTTAGTGACATTAAGTAACCTCAGTTGCTCACCTTCTTGTTTAATATAAATTGCAAAGCACAGTGTTTTTCCAACACTGGACTTTCCAAACCGGCTGCAAATTTCAGGATCTCCATCATTTGTCCTTACATAGCCACACTTTAATCATAGCTTGAAGTCCTAGTTATCCTAGACTTATAGAAGGAACTAATTACAGCAATTAGTGCTTTTAGCAGTTCAGTCTGAACTCTCACCTTGAATTCAGAGCTCTCAAAAAACTATAATGGCTATCAAATTTAGGGAAAAAAAACAGCACCATTTTTTTAGGATTTCCCTGAAAGATTTCCTTCTTAGGGATTAAAAAATCCCCTCTTTAGTATTTCAAACTAAGCTCTCAAAGACAAGATCCACTCAGTGCAGCACTGAACTTAGCAGAGCATCTAACCCAAGTCAGAGCTGTCTATAAATGCTGACCAGCAAAAAGACCTCCCAGAGGAGAGTTTAGAAACAATTTGCATAGAAATACAAACACAGTATCTACCTACTTTTAAGCTTTATATGCTGAAACAAACCCAACAAACTAACCTGTGTTTAAAACTTAAAGTGATTTCAGCTTAGCATAAAAAAAGTCAAAAAGCTGATGGCAATTATTTTAACTGCACCACGGAGTGCAATGTTTGCCTTCCTCTCTGCTAACATTTACATCACACTTTAAGTATGCTCTTAGTTTGTAACACACTTGGAGCACTTAAAACTATAAAAAATAAATAAACGACAGTACTTTTTAAAGTCCCCTCTTCTTGTGGGAGCAGACTTCACATCCAAGTCTGTTCTGGTCAGCCAAACCTCCCCCAATAACACTCAAGGCCTGAAAATAAGGAGGGAAGGAACAACCTGTCACTTGGCATTACAAATATCCAGGGAAAAATTCCTGTGCAGGTGCTTTCCCATCAGCTCCTCCTGCTTCTTACTCCAGCACAAGGGACAGTCCACAAACTGCTATCAAGTTTTAGGCATCTAATAAATGGAAAGAATTCCATGATATCACCAAAAGCTGATCTGCAAATAAAGAGCTTGTCATGGGAAAAGCACAGCTGAGGACAACTCCAAGAGCTGGGAACTGCAAATGAATACAGCACAACAAAAATGCCTGGGCGTCCCAAATAATCAAGAATTATTTCTAGCTTCCTCATTTCCCACTAAAGAGTTTTATTTACCCTCATGTCATCTATGATCCTCAAAGCTACACTAAATTTTTGGAAATATGTGCAATTTCACGTTTCCTGGGCTCTCCTCCTTCCTGCTCTCCACATGAGGAAGCACACAGCTGTGTTTTGGGCACACTGGGAAGCTAAAATAACCCGAGCACGGAGCTGTAAGCAAAGCAATCCACAGCGCAGGGATTTTACTCCTGGCAAGGCAAAACGAGCGCTGGGAAAACGGTGCTAAGAAACGTGCGGTGGAAAAAAAAAACATCGGGAGAAGGGGGGGAAAGCGCCGAGCTCGGGTTTCAAGGTTATTTAAAAACACGCATTTACACGGTTCGGGCCCACGTGGCTCCCGCAGCGTCCCCGCGGTTCTGACCCGCCGCAGGTCACCGAGACACTCGCATTTTTTCCAGGGAATGGCTCCCGATCCAGCACCCAAGGCACCCCTCGCAGGGCCGCGCCGGGACTCGCTGCCATCCCGCGGCCAATTCCCAAGGCACCCCCCGGCTCTCCCCCCTCTCCCCGCCGCACCTTTCCAGCTGAGGCGCAGGTTCCACTCGTAGAAGAAGATGAGTTTCCCCTTGCGGCTGTTGCAGGACGCCTCGCCCTCCACGTGTTTGAGGTCGCCGATCTCGCACCGCCCGGCCTCGCCCTCCACCACCAGCCCCTCCAGCACCTCCTTCAGCTTCCTCTTGGACCAGCTGGTCGCGTCCCGCTCCGTCCTGCCCCGGGAATGAGGGAGCGGCGGGGCCGGGGGGGGGGTCGGTCGGCGCCCCCCCCCCCCCCCCCCCCCCCCCCTCACCACCCCTCACACACCGCCCGCCGCTCCTTCCCCCGCATCCCGCCCCATTCCCGCCGCATCCCGGCCCTCACCAGTGCCAGTTGTTCACGTTGGTGGCGTCCGCCCGCTCCTCCACGATCCAGCGGGGATCCCCCTGGCCCCACTTGGCCATGGCGGCTCCGGCCGCTTCCGCCGCCGCCAGAAGGTGCCAGAAATTTCCCCGCCCCGCCGGAGGAGGAGGAGGAGGAAGGAGAGGCCGCACCGCCCTCCCCGCGCTGAGGGAGGAGGGACCGGGAGCCGCAACCCGCCGAGGGCACTCCCGGCTCTTACCCCGCTGCTCCTCCGCTCCCGGGAAACGCCGCTCCACAGGGGCTGCTCCCGGCTCCAGCGGAAAGGCACCGCCGCGTAACTGGAAAACAGGGAGGAAAAATGTCAGAGAAACGGGAGAAGCGGAAAGCAAACTCTTGGTTTTCACGCAGCGACCGCGGCGCGGAGTTCGGTGCCAGGGAACAGAAAATGGATGTCTGAGAAGTACATGGGAATCGGGTTTATTGTCTTGGCTATTTGACACGCGGCAGAGGGAATTAAATACACTGCAAGACAGCGCCGGTGCTGGGGGAGCAGCCCTGCGGAGCAGCACCTTCGGCAAATTGCTTGTTCTCTTATAACACTAGTAGCAGAATTAAAATCTGGATAGCGTCCCCGTATTGTTGCTCATTTAATTCTGTCCTGTCATTGTGCTTTTCGTCATCAAGTGTCCTTATTATTATAAAGAGATGTCATAGGCAGCCTCATCATCTTCAGGCTCATCTTCAGACTCGTCATCTTCAGGCACATCATCTGCATCCAAAATCACTGCCACTTCTGAAAATTTTACTCCTTTCAGTTCTTTTCCAGGGGCAGGTGATGGGGGCTGAGGTGTTATGGGAAGAGCGGATTTCTGGGCTGTGTCTGTCAGAAAGGAGTCCTGCAAGAAAATGTAGTGCAGGTGAGGCAGAAATTTCTGTGGAAAAGTTCAAAGCAGTAGAATATGTATAACTTACATTTTCTGTCTGTGAAGTTTGCAAACAAAGCATTGCTTTTAAGCTGGGAAGTTTTTGGAGCAGCTCACAAGAACCCTTTACTGTGCACATTCCATAACAGGCAGAACAGAGTCATAATTTCTGGATGACAAGTCTTCCTCCTCCTCCTTCTACTCAGGGACAACAGCCCCTCCTCTAAGATTTTTACAGAATCACAGACTGGTTTGGGTTGGAAGGGACCTTAAAAGATCATCCAGTTCCACCCCCCTGCCCTGGGCAGGGACACCTTCCATTACACCAGGTTGATCCAAGCCAGCCCTGAACATTTCCAGGGATTACTTCACGAAACATTATTTTCTTTTCAGTTCCATGACAGGTTTAACTTTTTCAATAATTCCTTCAATTATTTGATGAGTAACAATAAAATACCTTTCACTCTACGCTTTGCAATCAAAAAGCTCATTACCTGTTTTGTTCTGAATGCCACAGCGGGCTGGGCCTCTGTGTTTCCAAGTCCAGCAGCTTTTTCAGGTGCTTCTTCATCCTCATGTTCACTGTTGTAATCTGGCGGTATTGTCTCAAGGTAATTGCCTTTTTCAGGGGCCTGAATTTCATCTTTGTCAGCATCCCCTCCTCTGGTGCTGTATATGTTGTCAAATGATAACACCTCGCTTCTCCTGGAAGAGAGAGTTAACAGAATTCATAACACAAAAATCTCAGCCTCTCTGAGAGCAGCATGTACAGTGATCTCAAAATTAGTGGGATTTTTATCCAAGGAAATAAATGTTAAGTAGTTTCTTGTATCCTGAAGGTTCTTTTCTGCATAAGGATTAACAGTTTGCTAAAGGGTAAGCAGGAATTTGCCCGTGTAATTTTTGATACAAGATTAAAAGGTATTAACTTCCTTCAAGTGTAGAGATTTTTAACTTATCATTATAAGGGTTCTTAAAAACTGACCTATATACTAGTGAAGGATCCAAGGAAAATCCTGTGGCACCAGAATAAACTAGAATCACATTTTTTTTTATGCTATTTTTAATAGATTTGTGATGTCAGCATTCTACTTACCCATTATTCATATGCTCTAGTTTCTCTAAGCTTTTCAGACTTCCATTTTTGTCCATTGCCCACGGGTTATCAATGCCCTCCATACTTTCAGCTTGCTTCTTAACCAAATGCTGCTGCCCATGCTTTCTGAAAACGATAAATACATTAAAGTAAGATTATTAATTCTTTTTGAATATTGGTTTCATGGTTGTTTTAGAAACAGAAGACGAATTATTTGTGTCATAAGTTTAATACCCACTATTTACTTTCGTTATTATTCCGGGGATTTGTTTAGAATGTTTCCTATTTTTCCATAATGGTAGCAGGGTAAATATTCACTGCCCTCTTGGAAATGTAATTGTTTTCCTCTACTATGTGGCCCTGCTGCCACTGAAGTCAAGCAGCAAAACCTGCCTTGATTTCGGCGTTTGTGGGGTTAGAGGAGACCCATGTGGGCGTTTTACAGCTACTTGTGCCTCCCTTCACAGTTACAGTTTCTGCTGTCCAGGCTTCTCTGTTTTAAAACTATTTGTTTCTGCTGTTGCTGCGTGACAAACACAAGAAGAAACCGCTTCTAATTACCTGTGGTGTGTTCGTTTAATATCTACACACCAGGCCTTGTGACTCACAGCAAATCTTAGGCAACGCTCCACGCAAATATCAACACTTTACAGGACAACTTTCTCGAGCTGACATTTAAATAAACTGATTAAGCTGTAGATTTAAACTCCGTTGTTGGAGCAGAGCTCTGTGTACCTTTTCCTTTTCACATCCAGGGCCACGTAGACCAGGAAGGCGACAAAGGTGCAGGCCAGGAGGACGCCGAGCACGATGGCCGCGATGAGCTCCGGGCTCGCCGAGGCGGCAGGAGGCTCCCTGACGGCAGCAGTGACAGAGGTGGAAAACACCTTCTCCAGTTCTGCCTCGATGTTTCTAGACTGCTCCTTGAGTTTTCTGAAGAAAAGAAGGATAAAATGTGATGACTTAACCAGGCCTTCGTTTTGGCTGGAGGAGTAGAGAGGAAAATAACAAAATATCCCTCCCTGGTCCGCCCCAAGATCTTTTCTGAAAATTCATCTTTGTCGTGGCTTTCATTCGGGAAAGCCTCTGTTCTCTAAGCAACCAGCCCTGGTGCTTGTGACCTAAAATGCTGCAAAGCTTGGACAATTGAACTTGAGAGATCAGTAAATCCTCTAAATCCACATCACTGTCATGTTATGAAACAAATGTAAAATACACCTAAAGTGTAAAATTTTTTAATCAACAATCTGCTGTCGTAAAGTCAATATATTTTAACTACATTCTTTCTGCTTCAGCTGTTTTTTCTTAAACTGACTTTTAAATCTATTTTGCACAATTAAACTGCCTCATTCGTGGTTTTGACAAACTCTGGAAATTACCTTTCAATAAATAATGAAAGCTTTCTGAATTCTAAAATATCCATTTAAGCCTTGAGCCAAATCTCAGATAAACTGTTATTTGATCTAAACCCGTCCAGTCCAAGACCTTAATAACTTCCAGGGAAACAAAACCCATCTGCACAGCTCTGACTCCCAGAAGCCAGACTGTGCCATACAGACCTTTTTACATCCTGTGCAGGTACTTCCTGGTGGGCCTCATCAAAAGCAATAATTTCTATTTGGGTTTCTTCAGTGCTGCTTCTTGCTTTTCTTTCAAATTCATTGGAATAAACATCAACAATGTATACATTCCATGCAAGTTTATCTTCCAGGACCCTATCATCATATTAAGAAAACATTTTTAATTAACTGGGCAATGACAGATCCTTTTACTCTGGAAATTAAATAAAGCAGTATTTAATACAGCACTTGGCAGATATTGATATTAATAAAAATACCTTGGCAGGTATTTTAATCCAAGCATGTAAAAAAAGATTATTACCAGCAAAGGAATTAAGCTATTTGCCCAAAATTGTTGAGGGATTGAGTAGCACAGGAAAGAAATGCCCAGTCAGTGATATCTATAGAGTATTATAAACAGTAAAGGTGGGGAGGAGGGAAATTCAGTCTCATAATCCTCATTGTTTTCTCCTCCTTTTCCACAGAGATTTTCATGCTGTATCTTCTCCCTGTAGGCTGTCAGACCCCTATCCCAAATGGACTCCAAATTTGTCATATTATACCAGAATAGGCTTCACAGTTTCAAAAATACCTTTTTACTTCAGCAATGTTTCTTTCAACAACATTGGTCTGCTGGTTAAGCACCACCATCACGATGTTGCTACTGGAACTGGAGTCAACAGTAACCTAATAAAGAAAGAATCACACATAAGATTTTCTAAAGCATTTTTTCCTCTCAGATTGATTAAAGAAAAAAAAAAAACAAAGCCCAACCCATTAAACAACAACAAAATCCCTCTGATATAAAAGAACTGCCCTCCAAAATCAGTCTTTGTGCCAACGTGTTTTTATATGTCAGTGAAAATGGCAACCTCTTAATTCGAGCATGTAGCAAATATTCATGTATCAGACAAATTTGTTGGTGGTGTTAAGCAATTTTTTTTTGCCTTTACTAAACCTAACCTTTCTTGTGTTCAGAGTTTTGACATGGGAGTAAATCAGGATTATACAATATTCCTTACATTGACTGTTGTCCGGGCTGTGAGTCTTCTTGTGCCTTGGTCTGCAGCTTGGACTTCCAGATAAAATGTTCCAGCCTTTCCTGCTACAGAAACTGTAAAAATCTCCCCTGTATTTTCATTGATGTCAAATTCATTTGTTTGATGGTTCACTAAACTGTACAGCACCAAGCCGTTGTCTCCTGAGTCGGGATCCGTGGCCTGGGTTTGAAAAAGGTGATTTGTGAAACTCAGGTTTAAGCGCTCCCTTAACCCAGTTTAACTGTGGGAGAAATCCAGCTCTTTCACAGGATTCCTGTCCCTGTGAAGGGCACAGGAAATACTGCACCTGGACTGTAATGACGGGGTGCCTGTAGGGCACAGAGCTGGGGATCCGAGCAGAGTAGGAATCGCTCACAAACACGGGCTCCTCGTTCACGTCCTGCACGGAGATCGTCAGCATGGCCACGTTCTCAGCAAACAGGCCTGGAACAAACACAGCTAACAGCAACAACCACCACCAGATCCCACATTCCAAAGGCTGGCTCAGGCTGTGGCTTTGCAGCATCTCTGATGCTCCCAGAGGAGCTCTATCCCAGCCCTCCCAGGGCTCCGGTGGGAGCAGGCAGTTCCAGGCAGCACTGCTCCCCTGTCAGCCCTCTCCAGCTGCTGCACCAGGCAGGTTCCTCCAGCTCCTGCTGAGGAGTCCAGTGCCAGCTGTTATATCCTTTTCTGAGCCCACAGAAGGACCCTGTGAGGGTTTGCACCCCTGGGGGAGGGAAAGCTGCTGGCTTTGCTCTGCACGACCTCAGCTTTCCATCCTTCACATCAGATTTTTCAGTTGAAGACAATCACAACTCCTTTACGGGGTTGCAAATACAAAAGAGGTGTCCATTGCCCCGATTTAAGTTGCAATGTCCTTCAAAGCAAAGAGTTACCTGAATGCTGGACCTCTGCAGCAGATGAGATTTTTCCAAGCAGATGAGTTGCCTGAATTAAAAGCACGTACTGAGGAACTTCCTCGTAGTTCAAATTAACTGCTGTCCTCAGCTCCCCACTGGTGGGATCCAATCTAAAATGACCTGAAAGGAAAAAAGATGCAATTTTGCTGTTATAGCTACCATTTTACCTCTATCCCTCCTACTCTTGTGTCTTAGTTGCTCTCGGGATGTTTCCATGGCTCCTCTGCTCTTAAGAAGGTGAAATGCAACAACATTCCCACTGGCCAAGCAGCAAAGGCATCACAGCTGGGTTCCCATCCCAGACCAAACAGCTCTTAAACATGTAAAGGAACAATATATGTGAAAAACAGAATTGCAGCTTCTTGTTGCACAACTCATTTTTTTTATATAATTCCAAGTTTTCTATTTTGGCTCCCTCAGTCTTAAATTTTCCTAATTTAAGACTGCAAACCACCCATCTTTTAGCAAGTTACCACCCTCTCCATAGCCAAAGATCAACAAAGTCAACGCTGAAAAGCTCTGAAAGAAATTCTGTGTGCTTCCTTTTCTTTAAAGAGACACAGATTTTTTCCATGCTCTCCATCTCCTCTTTTACATCCAGGAACATCTGCCACACACAAAAGACAGATTATTATGTTCTCTTGGCTATTTTAACTCATAAGGGAAATCCTACTCACCTTTTTCATTGCCAGATACAACACTATAATCAATCAGTGTTCCTGAAGCTTCAACCACAGCCAGAGCATAAACTAAATAATCCACTCCTGTGTTTTCCGAAACGGAAATGCTAATGCAGGAAAGAAATGAGAAATATGAATGTTAAGCTTCCCATCAGTTGTTGCAGGGGCAGACTTTGAAATTTAACTCCCTGTGGAAAATCCTCCCCACTCCCCTTCAGTTGTTTGCTGGAGCTGCCTGACTTTCAGAGAGCAGTGCAAGCCCTAATTTTCTATCAGACATTGATTTGTCCTTGAGTAAAGCCTAAGGAAAAATAGTTTGAGGTGTGTAAGAGGAAAAGGATAGAGAGTGGGGCTTAGACAAGCTGCAAAATAAAGAAGTAAAGGTGATGCTTCAAATCACGTTCACAGAACCCCCAGAACAGCAGGATTTCCTAAATATTTTGTTTAAAAAAAACCAACCAATGTTCTTTCTTCTGCATGGAAAAATGTGAAAATGAGCTTCAGCAAAACCGTGTTTTGCACTGCCTGGAGAATGTATATAGTGAATATATATGTTATATAATATGAAAGCCTCACCTGATTTCACTCCTGTTAAACTGAGGGACGAAGGGGCGGTTGTCAAACACATTAAGAGTGATCAGAGCAGTGTCATTTAGAGGAGGGGAGCCTTTGTCCTTAGCCATCACCGTTAAGTGGATCTCTCCAGACCTAGGCAGGTTTCCAGTTGTAATTATTTTCCCCTCACTGGGGTTTTCCACCAGGAAGAACGGGCTCACGTTCAGATCCGGGAGGATGTAGTACTCAACAAGGCCATTTTGCCCCTGCCGTGAAAGGAACACAACTTCATGGAACTGGGAATATATTTTGAAAGGCAGGAGAAACACTGAAACAAGAGATTCCAAAATGTCTAAATGTCTCTAGTGAAATTACTTTGAAAATAGTAATTTTTTTTTAAGAATGAAAACCTGGGGTTAGCTATGGCAGGATGGATGGCAATTAAAAAAAAAAACACAAAGCAGAATAATATTCACAATAAATGGGCCAGTTGCACAGTGAAAACATTGAGAAAAGGTCTCTAATGGAAATAAGTGCAGAGGGGGACAGTCAGAGTAGTGAGAGTGGCACAGGGAGGACAAGTGCCACTCTCATGGCACAGGACCAGACAGCTGAAGGAGGAATTTCATTAGGGTCTCAATGCACAGCTCACACAGTCCAGCAATTTTCAAAAGCAATTTTCACTTTTTATACAAAAATCGTTGAAAAGGGTGATTAAAAAAGGGCTGGTGGATCATTTGCAGCAATGTGCCACAGCTGCAGCTATTCTAACCAAAATTACATGTGAGGAAATAGGAAGGCACCTGCTCCACCTATTTTGTTGTCACTTCTAGAGGTTTCACCCTTTAAGTGATATAATTACTGGTGATGTTGTCATGGTGATCTGTGTGACTACTGCATGTCCCTGCCAGTGCCTGGATACTACTTGATGGGTGCAGTACAGATGTATCAAACAAAATTACATTAAAAAAGGGGGATGGAGGGAATTAATGAGGTACCCCACTCAGAGGCGTGTGGCAAGCAGACATTTCCATGCACAAGCCAACATGTGATGTTCAGCTTTTACAGAATCAAATACTTCAGAAGTTCAAATAACTTCAGAGACACTAAATTGCTTCAGTCCTTGTGTACTTCTGAAAGCCTGATGCAGCTCCATATAAAAAGGGGGGAAATTAAAGCAAATACAGCTGAGGAAACGTGTCCAAAGACAGGGAGTCCACCAGTGTCAAGGCAGAACCATCAAAAGTCCTAAATTCCCAATTCCCAGTGCTGTTAGAATTCCCTACATTTGCTATTTCATGCCTAAAGAACAGAGAAAGGTCTCTTTGGGCTGCAGCTGAAGGCAGTGTCAGAATCCAACAGGAGGAGTTACCTGATCCTTGTCGGTGGCACTCACAGTTATGACATGAGCACCCACAGGATTAGTCATGTTTATGGAAGCAGAATAGGAATCCTGAGCAAACATTGGAGCGTTATCATTCACATCCATCACTAGCACAGTGACTGAAGTAGTTGCCTAGAAGACAAAATGGGTTTCATGCATTTTAAAGTATTTAGAATGTCTTATTTAGCAATGTTTCTTTTCTTACTTGCGCATGCAACAAGAAGTTTAAGTCAGGGTTTGAAAATGCTGCAGTAAAATGTCGTTTGGGTTTAATTTTTTTGACCTCGACATCAGAGGTACTACAGGATTTTAACACAAGAGGCAGGAATCCAATGCTGCAGTAGGATTCTATTTCTTGAAAAGTGCCTGAATTAGTATGAACACGATATGTTTAGGAGGCCAATGTGTCTTACACACAGTTAAGAGAACCACACATGTTCTAGTTCTGTTAAATAAGTGTCTAAGACCTTCTCAAATAAAAGAAATGCAGCAGAGCTACAACAATTTGCTGAAAGTACCTTTTTCTCCCATGAAAAATTATCACATCACTTACAGTTCTAACAGCAGCAAGCAAAGACTCCCGTTCCCCAGCCCAGGTTAGTCAGCAAACAATCCAGGGTTGAACCCTACCATGCATAATTTTGAAGTATTTCCCATAATTAAAGTATACTGCTGCCCAGTGTGGTCAAAGGTTGCAGGAGTCTGACTCTAAACATAAGTAGGTGACTCATTTATTCCACACAATAAATGTCTTGGACAGAGCTCCCTCCCACAAGTTCAAAATCCACTCTGAAGAGTCGCAGTTCATTACAATAATGGCCTTTTACCTGATAGAAAGGGGCAGATTTATTGTTGACTGCAGTCACTGTAAGGTTGTATTTATCCATGGTTTCATAGTCTGGAGAGTTCTTTATTTTAATGATGCCCTGTATTTCATCTATTTCGAATATGTTTTCTCCACCATCTGAGACAGATATAAAGAAGCATCATCAATTAATACATTTTAGAAGCTCATGATTAACTACACTTAAATTATACTTCTGCTCGTTGTGGCCACCCTCAAAGTCTGATGTATATTGAAATTAAAAGGCTAAAAACATATAAACTGTATTCACATTGCTCTTGATGGTCCTTACAACAAAACCAACTATTTCAGCTCCGGTCTGAAGGAGTCTAAATTTCCATCTCTGTTAGGTTCTACAAGGCAGGCATGGATTAGGCCCTAGACCCTTATCCCTTATTCAAGAAAATAGAATTCCTTGTTACCTGTAAGTTTATACAGAACAAAGGCATTGTCTCCCGTGTCTCTGTCTGTTGCTGTGACTTTTCCAACTATGAATCCCACAGGCACGTTTTCATTTACACTGAATTCAGCCACTGGCTCAAAGACAGGTGGCCAGTCATTAACATCAGTGATCTTTATGACAACTGTGCAGTAACCTCTCTTCTTCTCAGGGATTCCATCATCTTCGGCATATACCACAACCTGGAAATGATTGGTAATGGGAGATCATATGAAGAGGTACTTTCATAAGGATTAAAAAAAAAACTTGGCAAATTTTAAACTTTGGAATATTCTTAAAAAGGTAAAATCCAATTCTGAACAGCAAATTCACCAATATTTTTGCTTGAAGCAAAATAAGATCATAAATATCCAGCAGTGGTGACAACAATAAAGAAGATTAACTGAGAATCATGTCTGCAAGGTCTCAGTGTAGTCCAGATTCAAGCAGACAGCACTGAATACATGAGCTGTCACTGTGAAATTAGTTATTCATGTGCTGGAGCGTTTGTAGGGCAGGTGAACAGTGAGCTGTGCTTGAATTTCATTACAGTTGAAAGGCAGTGGTTTGTTTTAATAAAGCCTCACATCTTGAGATTGCTCCTGTTCTAAACCAAGGCAGAAAATGTTCAAGCAATATCAAGCCAAACAAAAACACAAGTGCCACCTGTTATCCAAGAGAAAGATAAAAAGTTCTGAATAAAAAAAAAAAAGATTGAAGAAATCTAAAGCAAACCTGATACTCGGTTGGTTCCTCTTCATAATCAAAGGTGGTATTGGAATATAGAACTCCAGTTGTTTCATTTATCCTGAATTTTAGTCCGTGTCCATTAAGAATGCCATATGTTAGCAACCCATTTCTACCTGTATCATTATCCTGAGCTTTCAGCTGGACAATCTCAGTAGCTGTTAAATTCTGTGGATGAGGAAAGATTGGAGCTGTCAGAGACTGGTTTGCTGCAATTCCTTGGATTATGGGAAAAGGGGAAAGCAACAGATACTGCATCCACTTATAGTAGGATAGACATTTTAAAATCAAAATTATGCAACTTATTCAGCAGAGTAAAAGTCTCTTGTTTTCTCTAATTCACAGAAAATAACTATTTTCCTGCCCCAATATCTCCTCCCATTGCAATAATCCTCAGGAATAAAAATCTCCATCATTTCCAATACCCCAGATCTTAACCTCAAGCATCTGACTTGCTGTTATTTCTGTTCAACATCCTCCACTCCCACGAAACTCAGTGGATGTTCTCAACTTCAAAAATCATGTTTCTTTCTGAACACTATTTGGCTAATAATTACCCTTATCAAAAAAATAATACAATTCTTCCTTTTTAACAATCTTATTTGCAGCAAGATTGATAGAAGATATCAGTGTTTCACTTGCACAGCCATTTGAGACCTGAAGTTATTTGATCCAACTGTGTAAATATTTCACATGGAAATCAATTTTTTAAGGTTGGGAAATGTGAGTCCAGCTCTCCTCCATTAAACTAGCTGGGAACATTACAAATAGGTGTAATAATTGAATAAATAGGTGTAATAATTGAACCTAAATTTAGCTCAGTGGTAAAAATGGGTTACATTTTAAATCAGTTGTGGCTGATTTAAGAGAGAATCAGCTGAGGATCTCAAAGGCAAGGTATGTGTTATATAAAATATTAACATGATCACTGGGCTTCTTTTTGAAAAAAAGCAGCCAGCAGATTAAAATGTGAAAGGCGTTGCTTGAAAATTGAAGAGTGAAATGCTGAGCTGGATGCTTTTGCATAATTAAATGCTGTGGCTTGTTTTGTAGACAACCAGATTTTCTGTCTGAAAATCTGACTGAAATCTGGCTTGTTTTCTGCTGCTGATCACTCTGTGTCAGCAAGAATCACAACAGACTCTACATGAGCAGGAGGAGAAATATTGCTGAACTAGACTTTTCCCTGCTATTTCTCTGCCTGAAGCTCCCTTACAAGAGGCTGAGTGAGTCTATGCCCAGCACACCCACCAGATTTTAAATGCACCTGGAATATTCTCTTTATATAAATATGCAAAATGGACTGGTAGTTCTTCCTTTATGGAGCCCCTTATTATTAAAAGGTTCACTTTTCCTTCGATATGTCCACACTTTTAGACCATTCTCTTTGTGTATTGGGGATTTTCAGCTGGAAATCAACCTCAAAACATCCCATGGCAGAACAGAAGGGCAAACCCGCCCGGTTCCAGAAGGTTTACTTTTATTCTCACCAAAAGATTATACATAAATCTTCAAAACAATAATAAAAATGTGATGCAGTTTGGATGGCACTTTCTTACCTCTGCCAGTGTTGCTTCCAGCAGAGAGGATGGGAAAACAGGAGGGAAATCATTTTCATCAATAACTTCCACCTCCACTGGAACTTCAGTAGATATGGCAGCATCAGTCAAGTCTGTTGCTCGAACGTTGAAAGTTACTGGAAAATCTTCCAGTTTTAAATTCTTTGTTGTCCTTATGATACCACTGGATGAATCAATCATGAAATACCCTGTAAAAAAAAAACAACCCCAGAAATTATTCTGGTTATGAATTTTTTAGTTGCAACTGAAGATATGAATCCTTCAATGCAAACTATATGTTATTTATAGGAGTATTATATGTTACAGTATTCTTCGAAGAACAAAATGAAATTCAACATTTTTACAAGATTTATAAGAATGTCAGGCATATCCAGGGCTGTAACTAACAAAAAGAAACAATTCAGAAGGTCAGATGGAAACCAAAAGGGAGAAAATTCACTCCACCACTCTCCACTCAGGTCTTCACCTTCCTATGAAACAGTCCCTGTTTCAGTTAGAATTATATTTTATATATATATATATATATATATATTTGCTCTGAAGTCCTGTTCTTATTAGAGATGAGGAATTCTGCAGCTAAGTTCAAGGACACCTCAACTTCATCCAAAACATTTTACAAAACCAGAAATAGAAACTCTTTGTGTTTGATGATGCAATGAAATCAGCTCTATATTTAGTAAAAATAGACACGTGACAAAGCACTGATCCACTTGACCCTACAGAAACTTCATCTACACTCTCACATTTGTTAAGAAAACATTGCTGAGTTAGTTTTTCTACCAGAAGTCTTTATGCTTTTAGGTATTTTTGCTCCAGTCACTGTAACTTTATGCCTGACCAGGTACCACCTGATCTTCCTGCAGCAGACAAAGCGTGGAGGTGGTGGAGGCCAGGTATGGATCATGTGGCTCTTGCTAATGGGACAGAAATTCAATCATGTGCCCACACCTGATGCAGATCCAATTTGTGCATCTGGCTGATACACCTCCAGTGTTAATGGATGTAGAACTGAGATAAGGGCAAAAGGAGAGGGAGAAGAAACACCCCAAAAGCTCAGTGCTGTTGTTTAACACACCCTCTTCCTGTTATTCCACATCAAGAGCTTACCCTTGTCATCTCCAGAGGCAATAGTGTAGCTCACAGGGGCACTGTAAAACACATTGGTCTGCACCACAAATGTATCTGGCAGTGCCTTCTCACTCAGAGGGGCAGGATGATAGGCTGCCTCCGAGAACACCGGGAAGGACACGCCGACGGGAACGACGGTGACTGACACCTGCAGAGACAAGGACACGGACACGGACACTGGGGTGATGTTTCCAGCTCGAGCAGACCTTCCTACTGAGGTGTGCGACAGCACAAGTCCAGAACTTGGGCAGTAAGGAGGATTGCTGTGTGCTGGCTTGGACACATCTGTGTCCTGAAGGCAGTGCAGGTCAGTGAAACACTTTTGCAACCTCATCACTTGAGGTTCACCTGTTTGCTTTGCTAAACAGAGAGAGGGATTCCAGTTCATCACAGGCAGCATATTTCTTTTCCAGCTAAACAGCTCTCAGAGAGGCACTGAAATGTGTTTGCAACAAATTCTTCTGCTGGAGAGTGTATAACCAGAACAGGAGCTTGCAAGTATGGTATTTTAAAAGCATTAGAACTGATTTTATAAATGAAAAAAGGTGACAGGTGGTAAATAAAGAAGGCCTATTGCTTCACAAAAATAAAGATCATTTATTTCTAACTGATGCCAGACAGCTTCTGTCCAAGGCCCTGAAGATATTCTTAAGCCATTCTTAAGAATGATGGCTTGTAAGTCTACCTTTTGAGACTGTGAAGACAATTTTCTACATGTCTTTATCCATACAGATTTCTAGTTCTTTTTTTTTTTTTGATTCTGCTGCATTATTTAGTGGCAAAAATCACCATAAAGTTCTAAGCACTGTATAAAAATTTTTTTGATCATATTTACATTTCTCAGTCGTTAATTTAGAAATTATTTTTTCTTTCTTTATAGGAAAAAAAACAGGAACATGTTATTTGCCACCCCCTGTTTATTTATCACACACTTCCATTACATCCCCTCTGACTGCCCCACTCTTTGACCTTGTACAGAAGTCTCCACTCCTCTAATCCTCCTCCCTCAGGGCCTAGAGCCTGTCTGTCTTTTCTGAAATGAAATGATCTATGTTTTGCATAGTTTTGCCTCACTAAGACCCATTTCCTGGTGTAGTTATGCTTAGAACAAAACAAGCTGGGGAATAAACTGTGCAGGTTGGCACTAAATTTTAGTACCTTTACAGAGGTTGAAAGAGGCGGCAAACCCGAATCCGTAGCAGTGACATCCAAGGAGTGATACTGGGGTTCAGTTTGTTTGGATAAGTCTCTTGTTAACCTGAGTTCTCCTGTGGTACTGGAGAGACTAAAGAGGTCTTCTGAGTTCCCACCTGAAGACAGGAAAACAAGTGTTGGAGACGTTCAGTGGGACCAGCAGAGGTTGGATTATACAGCCGGGACTGAAGAGACGCAGGTGGAAATCCTGATCTGGGACTTGGGGCAAGACACCCCTGGTCTCTCTTGATTCTGTGTCATAGAATCATTTGGGCTGCAAAGGCCCTTCTGAGGCCTCTGATCCAACCTCTTGGCTCAAAGCAGTGTCAGGAGTGAATTCAGCACAGTTTGCTCAAGGCTTTGATCCATCAGGTGCTGAGAATCTCTCTGGGCATTCTGTTCCAGTCATTGCTTATCCTCACAGAGGATTTTTACCCCTTATATCCACTCAGAACCTGCCAATTTCAATTTATGACCATTGTCTCTCATCCTGCTGGTTTAGCAGTATTCAAGTATCCCAGCAATAAACAACCAGAAGATTTTTTTTCTCTAACATACCTGTAATACTGTAGATAATTCCTTCATCATAATCCTTGCTTTCATCTCTTGCATTGATATCCACTACCAGAGTGCCAGCTGTAGAATTGTCCAGAAGGATCTGGTGATATGAGGGCTGGTCAAACACAGGTCCTTCTTCATTCACATCTTCCACAATAACTGAGAAAGAAGGTCCAAGTCTGATGAGTTTTGCCTAAACAGTCACAAGCTATTTCTTCAGCTAATACAATCCAGCACAGCTCCTCTGAACTAAATTGGAGCTCTTTCTGTTTAAACCAGATGGCAACCTTGCTTTCTGAACTTCAAAATACTTGCCTTTGTGGATTAAATTATTTACTGCTCAAGCAATAACTTCACTCCTGGCTAGAATGCTGTCACTGCTACCTGTCAGGAATAATAGTTCCACATTGTTCCACTGGGCTCCCTTCTGTGTCCATATTCATTTGGTATCTCCAGTCTTTGCACTGGCATTAGGGGACAGGATTGCTTAGTTTTATGTTTGTACATGACCTGGATAATGGTCCACAATTAGTGAAGCTGGCCACAGAGCAACATAAATAACACAGAACAAGAAACAATAAACAAACTAATACTTCCAGTCATACTGGTCAAAAGTAGGGCTGGTCAAAACCTAGAATACCAACCTCACTTTTATCTTATTTTTTCCCCAAAAGCACAAATTAATCAAATTTTTTTTTTTGAGGAAAAAAGCAACAGCAAACAAGCACTGTTAACAACACTAAAAATCTCTGTCAGTGTTGTTTATCACCCTAGAAACAGGCTTTCTGTAAACAAGCAGTAAAAGAACTGGATCATGTTTTTGGGAACCTTTTCAATCAAAATGTCAACAGGTGCTCAAAAAAACATAATAGAAAAATCTGTGAATATACTGAAGTGAGAATAGTTTGTGTGAAAAAAAAAATCTTCATTTTTGACAAGGCAAATATTTTTTTTCTTTTTTAAATTTCCATCTGGCTGTAGTGCAAAGATCACATCATCATTTCTGATAATTTACCTTAGCAGGCTGTATTAGTATTGCATATGTTTATGCCTCATAATTACACGTGCTGAAATATTCCCTAAGGAGAATGAAGGGACATTTCCTGTGGTAAAGCAGAGCTACCTGTGATGTTTGCTGTGTCCTGGAGATTTGGCTCTCCGGGATTGGAGGCTTTCAGAGTAAACGTGTACTGGGAACGACTTTCATAGTCCAGAGGTTCAAGAGTTGCAATGTCTCCAGAAAGTTCCCCAACGTGAAATGAAGTTGTATCTCCAGTTATGGTGTAATGAATAATGGCATTGTAACCTACATCTGCATCTGTGGCTGCTGCACTCAAAATCTAAATGAGAGGGGAAAAAAGAGAAACAAAAGGTTTGGAGCAGAACGAAGAGAGTGGCAAAACATACACCCAAGACTGGCATTGAAGCATATAGTGTTTACTGACCAAATTAGTCATATGGCCATTAATTGCCTTGCTAAAATCCTGACACAGCAGGAATGGTCACAGGTGTTACAGATTTTCAGGTGACACCTCTTCCTTCAATTCCTGTAAATCATTAGGTCATATCTGCAAGGCAGATATATTGGGAGGTTGCCCAGAGAAGTTGTGGCTGCCCCATCCCTGGAAATGTTTAAAGCCAGGTTGAATGGAGCTTTTGAGCAACCTGGTCTAGTGGAAAGAGTCCCTGCCCATGGCAGGGAGTTGGAATGAGATGATCTTTAAGATCAGTGGTACTCCACTGTCACATAAATTAACATGCTCTGTGATTTTACAGGCTCCACAAAGTAAAAAATTATGTTCCCCAATGCACAGTGATGATACATAACACTATCCCTTCTAAAGTTTACACGGTGAACACGAGTGCAGAACAGCCTGGTTATTCCAAGTGCCACCTACCACGTGTGGAGGCTCATTCTCTCTCACAGTCACAGAGTAGGATCTCTGGGGGAACACTGGTGGGTTGTCATTCACATCTTCCACAGTGAGGCTCAGCACCAAGCTTGCGGATTGGGGTGGTCTGCCAGAATCGGTGGCCTGTGAAGAAATGTGTCATTAAAAGCAACTCTTTAACACAAACTTACTTGACCACTTCAGTTTTGATCCAAAAAATTGTGAACCTTTGTCTCTGAAGACTTTCTGCTGGACCAGTTATCCCCCAGTCCCATTGTTCTAGCCCTGTAGTTGATTAGTGGTGTCCTCACCCCATCACACTCTCTGCCTCATTTCATCAGCAATTAATCAAAAGCTCAAGCCTGGATCCAGATCAAACACATCATGTGACCAGACATGGCACTAATCAACACAAAAACACAGATATCTGTGCTGTGGCATTTGAAAGAATAAGGAAACCCCTTGCATTTTGAGGGTTTGAAGTGCCTACAAAGCAGGCTGTGAAGAGCATCCAGTACACGGTCACAGAAAATTCCAATCTACAGGAACATTTACACAATTTTCAATTAGTCTTAAAAAGTGTCACTTTCATTAACTCTCAGATTTTCAGAAGACACTGGTTCAATTTTTAGTGGGTTTCCTGAATATGTTCCCCAAGTTCCTTGACCTCCTAAATTATTTGTTAGCAGCAAAAAATGTCCTTCAAATATATTTGTACCCGATGGCCAGTGCTGGAACTCTTCTTAGTATGCACAATAATTGATCTAATTAGTAGCAGTAAAAATCAATTAAAGCAGAGAGAATAAATAGATACCCTCATGGCTGGTGAATGAAACTTTATGCCTTTTTTTTTTTTACCTTGAAAAATCTCGTTTCAGGTATTTTTTAAAAGGTCTAAGCATCTTATCTTTTGAAAAATGAAAAAATAAGGGAAAGGGACAAACAACATGGATTGGTCTAAAATGGACTGAGGAATGCTTTGGAGATGTCACAATAAGCTGTTGTGTGACTATAACCTTTAAAATCTGGGCTTCATGGATCATTTATTCACCAAAACCAATTTACACAGCAGAAAATGGAGCTCTGGGTGCAAAACATAAGGAACATTCAAAATTTATTAATGAATTCTAATAGAATTCTCTGAGATTAAGTGGGTTTCTTGTGATGATTCAGTATTTTCTCATTTCTTATGTTCAGAATTCTGTGAACTCGCCTCAATAGTTTGTCAACTTACTATTATTTTCAACTCATAACTGTCCACCGTTTCTCTGTCTAAGGATGTTTTTGTCATCAGCTTGCCAGTAGAACTGTCAATATGGAATGTTCCAGCAAAATCATCTTCCAGAGAGTAGGTTATAAGTGCATTAACTCCTATATCCAGATCAGTAGCAGAATATGTGCCCAAGTCCAGACCAGCTGCATTCTCAGGAGCCGATAATTTAGTTTGAATCCATGCTGGGAAAACTGGAGAATTGTCATTGGCATCATTAACTCTCACAGTTACCTATAAGAAAAGAAAAAAAGAAAAAAATAAGAGACAAATTTAAGCTGTAGAAATGGTATTTGAAGGAGAATTTTGATTCATTTTAGTCTATGGAAGCCTATAGGAAAAAAAGCAACAACATCCAAAAACCAAAGGGATACATAACAAATTGAGCATTTTTCAGCATTTGAGCATTTCCACAACCTCAGCATTTTTTGATTTTTTTAATTTTCAGCTGCAAGATAACATATGTATGAGATAACATCTACTCTAACTGGAAGAGATGAGGAGAATTAATAATCTGGGGCCTTTGGGCTCATGATTTGACAGAGCTATGCACAGACAGTTTCGGTGTTAGTGAGTTTCTCTGGTTATAGACTGTTCACAGAGGGATTCTCAGGAAGTGATGCAATCTGTGAAGGGACAATATTTCAATCTGAGAAGGGACAATATTTCAATCTGTGAAGGGACAATATTTCAAGATGGTAATATCTCCTCAGGATAGAAAACCTGAAGTTAAATGAAAGGCTGTCAAAGCTTCCTGCTTGCATAACAGAAAGCACTTATGTGGATATTGCTCAATTCTTGAGGTTTTTTTTTTAAAAAAGATATTTCATATTCCTTTATAAAAAGCATTTGGGAATGCCTGTTCCATACCAAAGCCACAGCTGTGTTGGGTGGCAGCACAGAATCCACAGCCTCCACGATGACGCTGTACAGGTCGACTTCTTCCCGATCAAGCCCGACGAGGGCCACGATGTCTCCTTGGTCACCCACAGAGAACTTGTCCCGGTGGGATTTCAGGGAATACACCACCTGCACAGCTATGCTTCCAGTCAGAGCCTTCACAGAGCCCACTGCAGTCCCTGATGGCTTGTTCTCATCGATGCTGAACTCGTAGCTGGAGCTCTCAAAAGTCAGCCCGAAGCTGGTGTCATTTACCAGCAAGTAGAGAGTGACAGAGACTAGTGAGAGAAAGCAAATTAAAATAGGGAAGTTGTGGCTAAAATCATCGTGATCCGTGCTCTATTTCCTTAAATCTTTGAGGAACTAATAGAAAATGACAGAAATTATCATGTAGGAAAGAGGAATGACAAGAAAAAAGAAATCAATAGTAATAAGGAATAATATGTAACACAAAACATGATGCCTTTTATAGCTAATTTATGTTCCAGAGTAACCCCACTTCACTGATCACAGTTGCTTCAGTAGGACAGGAGAGCAAGGATCACCAATGACAAGTTAGTGGGATGTGCAGGTGTTTTACACTCCTTAAAACTCCTGCACTAAATTGCTTTGTAACAAAAGAGAGGCTACACATAAAACCATAAGTGCAATTTCTGTTGTGACCACTCATCCAATTTTAAGAAAATCAGTTGTTTCTCCTGTTCATAATAAATCAAAGTTAGCCTCCAAAAAACACATGAAGAAGTTACAGTTGCCGTGTGAGTCAATATTTTATGAAAGAACAGAAACTCATTTGAGGGTTATTTGCAAGTTCCCGTTTCTTTAAATGTTCTTAATTCTAAGAAAATAAAGGAAAACTGAAAGGGAAACACATCATCAGTATTATTTGAATATATCTTTTTAGAGTGAGTACAACTGTGAATCCTGGGGTTTGTATCATAAGTACAACTGCAATAAATTAATATTAAAAAAATTAAGTCTAACCCAAGTTTTCTGTTAAGACGATCAGCTTGGAGGAAATCAAAGGGTAAAAAGCAAATATTCATTATTCCTGAAATGCAACATGGGGTATTTGTTCCCTAAATTCAGTTTGACTTGGCAGCAATGGGATTAATTTCCAATTTAAAGGTTTGCAAGGGTTATGTTTACATGGGGAAAAGTACAAAAGGGTAAAAGACATTTTACCCTGCGATGTAAGCTGGGGATCTCCATGATCAGCAGCAACAACTATCAGTGTGACAACTGTGTCAGCTGTGATGTGGTCCAAGCTCCTGCTGAGGGTGATTTCTCCAGTGAGGGTATTTATATGGAAATCATCAGAAGGATCCATGAAGCTGATTAAAGAGAAATCAGGAGAGTATTCATATTAATGACCATCTAGTTACTGCTTCTTCTGTAAGGAGCACTCAACACACAGTATTTGCCTTTTCATAAAGAGCAGGTTTTAATTGCTGTGTCATTAGCCTAAATAGATTGGCCTTTTAAATTCCAAGTATGTTTTCCATCATGGAAAAAACCCAGCATTCATGCCTTCAGTTCCCATTATACCCCAAGCTTTTGATTTTCCCACAACTAGAAGGCAGATATTGCACACTCAGCTGCATATTCAGCAATAGAAGGAACCCAAGTGGCATTCATCTGGAATGACCTGCTAATTCCTGGTGTTCTGCAAACTCTCACAGATAACTGAATTGCTCACAGGAAAAAGTAGCATGTTTAAGGTAGAATGCCATCTCACAGTTAAAAATGTTCTCTTTCAAGACAATAGTTTTAAACATCCACAATTTTACTGATTCATTCATCTGTCCTTCCCAATCCATGCTTTTCATGTCAAGGTATCCTGGTGTTTTCCATGACATAGGGGTCATACACAAGTCCTTCTCCATTAATTTTTCTAAGCATGGTGCATTATGAAAGTTAGTATTTCTTGATCTCCTCCCAGCAAACAGAAGATATGTGAAAAGACAGTTTCATTCTCAGCGATTCACTTACTTCCCACCCAGGAATTCCAACACATTTTTCAAACTCTCAGAAATTCAAACAAGTTTTGGCTTTGGGGTTTTTTTGCCGAGTTTCTCTCTTATGACACAGTCATGATTCAATAAGCTCTAAAACACGGAGTAAGGACTGTCCTTCCTGAGTTTAGAAATCATAGGTGATTACAGCACTTGTAAAATGTCTATGAGCAGATCTTATCCTTCTCCAGACCAATAAAAATACTTTGTGAGAAATAAAAATACCTTTCTGTTTGCTTCTTTCCCAGCAGACACTTATCAACAAGGGATTATTATCACCACAGGGATTTTACCTGTATGAAATGACTGAGTTGTTCCCAGCATCAGGGTCAGTAGCAGACACTGCCAGCACAAACTCTCCTTCCTTTGCATTTGCCACTCTTACACTGGCTGAGTACTGAGCCTTTGTGAACAGAGGAGGGTTATCATTCACATCTAGCACTTGAATGCTGACATGGGTGAAATTCTGGTGTGTGAGAGGAGAAAATGCATCATTCAGAAAATGCACAGATATTTAACTTCCTGAAGAAAAAGCAGTTGCAAACAAAGCATAACTCGTTCCTCTTTACCTGCCTTCGAGGAGCTCCATTATCAGATGCCACCAAGAGCAGCTCATACTTCTCTTTGGTTTCTCTGTCTACAGGGGCAGTCACCAAAATGGTTCCATCCTAAAGAAGGGAATGTGGTTCAACGCACAGATCATTTTGATTGTAATTATACACTGAATTCTCAGAGGAGACGAGGGATTGAAATAATCTGTTCTCCTTTGAGCACGTTCAGATTCCAAGCAGCACCTGACCAGTATGTCTTAGTTTTTGAATATCAACACATATTTCCAACCTACAGGGCACGTGCTGGTTTTGATGTGCATTAGAATGGTACCCGCCACCTCTTTTTACCTGATGTGTAAAAAGGTAAAACCTGATGTGTTATTACCTGTGCCAAGTAACTCCATGAAAAGCAGTACCTAAATATTGTTTTCAGCACATCCAAACCCCTTACCTGTTGGATGCTGTATGGATTATCCCCATCCTCAGCTGATAGGTAATAAGTAATTCGGGCATTCTCTCCCTCATCCAAATCAGTGGCAGTCACACTTCCAACTTGGGCGGGAGCACTTGACATGTACTCTCCTTCTGGAATCTCAAAATTGTATGGCTGCATCTGGAACTCAGGGTTGTTGTCATTGACATCCAGAACAGTGACATGGAACAGGGCACTGGAATTAAGCCCATCTGTGTCAGCATCAACTGCCCACACCTGCCAAAGTCAGGAACAAAAAATGGAGTTTTAGTGGACATTTTAACCTCTGATAGAGATATAAAAGGTGTTCAAGGGAGTGAAGTAGAAACGAGCCAAAACTGAAGAGTCTGAGCCCAAATTTACTTGTAAAGTGAACGCAGATGTAGTCTCCCTGTCCAGTTCTGTGTCATTCCTTAACGAAAGTATTCCAGGCATATCCACAGTAAATGAGGTACTGTTATGAATAAAGTGTCCCTGAGAAAAGCCAGCCTAGAAAGAAAACATAGATCATTTGAGATTTAACATGATTAATATTTAAGTTCAAAAAATAATCATATTAATACTTATACCTGACCTTTTTATAGGACTTCTCATTACAAAAGTACAAGTGCTTTGGCAGGTTTAATACCTGAAATCCTGCACCCTGAGCTGTGGGAATACTGGACTTCTTTGGCAAACAGGAACTGCAGTATGTGGAAGCCCTTGTGGTCCTAGACATTCCCTCTCCCTAGAGCTCTCCAAGACTAATCCCCACGATGTGAGGAGCAGCAACACACAGTTCAGTGGAGTCTGAACTGAGAGAAGCATTTACGCTGCTTTAAAACTGAGGAAACCGTGTCACCTTTGATTTATCAGGATGAGAATAATCTGGTACCTACCTCGTCCTTGTCAGCAACACTGAACGTGTAGACAGGACTTCCCTTCTGAAGGTTCTCAAACACAGATATCTGATAAGCTGCCTGGCTGAATTCTGGTGGGTTATCGTTGACATCTACTACATGCACAACTACGAGGGTTTTATTGCTGAGACTTGGCTGACCTCCATCTGATGCCTCCACTTCCACTAGAAAATGCTTTGTGGTCTCATAATCCAGCTGCTGGTTCAGGCTGAGCTGGCCTGTGGTTGCATCGACAAGGAACACCGGTGAGGGGGTTTGGGGTTGCTGGCTGACAATTTGGTACGTCACCAGGGCGTTGTCCCCAGCATCCAAGTCAGTGGCAGACACTGTCAGCAGTGCCTTTCCCAGCACTTCATCTTCAGGGACATCCACTGTGTATACACTGGATGAGAAGACTGGAGGGTTGTCATTCACATCACCAACGATGACTGTCAGGTCGAGAGCTGTCGACCGCGCGGGTTGGCCTTGGTCGCTGGCGATCACTGTTAAGTTATACGAACCTTGGGTTTCTCTGTCCAGTTCCTTTTCCAGCAAAATTAATCCTGAGGTGTCAACATCCATTTTTCCTTCCCCACCTTTCAGAGCATAAACCACTAGCCCATTGAATCCCTCATCCGCATCTGTTGCTGACACCCTGGCGACGCTCGTTCCAGGTGGCACGTTCTCGGGAATGTTAACGGTGGTGTTGGTTACACCAAACACAGGACTGTTGTCATTGACATCTAGAACTGTGACAAACACTGTAGCATAGTCAGTAGTGTTCCCATCTGACAAGGAAATGGTCAGTGTGTAGTTTTTCTGGGATTCATAGTCCAGTTTGGTTTTTGTTGAGATGACTCCCATGTCATCGATGGCAAACGTAGCAGATTCCGTCAGCACTTGAAACTCAACTGGTATATGGGGATTTAAGGACTCATACTCTACCTGGGGAAGACACAGCATATTATCAATAAATGAATTAAAACCAATAAACCACTGTCTAAAAAAGAATAATCATTTTAACTTTGCCTAAACTCATTTTATGGTTGATATTGTGGCTTGATATCAACTTATGGTTGATACTATGACTTGGTTTTACTTCTTTTAATTAATTTTCATTCAGGCATTTACTAACCTCACAGATTCATTAAAAGAAGTAAAAATCAAGCCACAACATACATAAAAATCCAGCTGAAGAGGACTGCCTTTTATTGGAACATCATTAATATATAAAAGGAAATATGTATCAGACATAATAAACAGACTGCACTTTAACCTTTGGTTCTGCCTTTCTTCATATAAAAAAAGTGAAAAATTAACTCAGAAAGTCAATAAAGCAAAACAATAAAATGCATTATCTTCTCACTGCTTTGGTAGGAGGCTGCCCATCTGCCTTCAGACCTGCATCCCAGAAGGAGCTTCTGGTGACCTGCTCATCTGAGCATTTTTGAGCAAAATGAGGAGCAAGTTCTAAAGCCTTCTTTGAAAATGCCTTTATGACAGTCTCTGATGGGAAATCTCCTATCATGTCACAGAGATTTAGATTTATCCCCAACAGATGAGGGAATATTTCCTATTCTGGCCTTTGGGCCACTATAGGTTTTGGAGAGTGTCCAGAGTCAACAAAGGGCTAAGCATGGAAGTTTACTTTCTCAAGCAGTTCTGGGGTTTATTTTGTTTGCTTGGGGAGGTTGGTTTCGTTTTGGGTTTTTTTAAATGTTAAATGGTAGCAGATGCTGTTTAAGCTTTAAGCAATGGAAAGTTTGCAAAGGTTTAAGTGGAAGCAAATCCACCTTTGTGGGTGATAAGCTTCATCCTCTGAGGGATGTACTCAGTGCTGTATGTGCAGCTTGACACACAGAAAACCCAGTATCCAGTTACCCATAGCCTGGGGAGACATGGACATGTGGAGCACATATTTTATGGGATTTTCTTACAGCTGTCATGTCTTATATAGAAGATAAAATAAAGTTCTTACTTTTGCCACTTCAACAGGACTGACCAGCTCCTCCTCCACGGACACATTGTATGTTTTTTGGGTGAACTGTGGTCTGGAATCTCCAACCGCAGCGATTTGCACTGGCACTGATGAACTCCTTGGAACAGCCCCACCTGCAAGCAAAAGGAAACAATCTCCCAGCAGATGCACAAAATACCCACTGCCTCAGAAAATAAAAATAAAAAAATACACTTTTCCACTGTCACTGACTTTTTTTTTTTTTGTTTTAATCCTTACTGCAACTGTTATGGTACTGCCTAAGGGGTCCTAACAAAGATCACAAAGGATGGACTTGGGAATCCCTTTTGTATCCATATTCCCCACAGCACCCATTTTGTCCATGAGACCATAAATTTGAGGACACAGAGCTGATTTTGACCAAATCATGGAAAAATCATGAGGCTGAAAACCACTTCGTATTCCCATGCTTCCAGGAGTGGGATAACATTCCTGGGTTACATTTGTTTCTGCCCTTATTCAGATCATGAATGTTCACTGAGTTCTCTGTTATTCTTTTAAAACAAAGAAACCCTCAATAACTATGGCTAAGGAAATGCTGGTGGTGGTGGTCTTCCTAAAAATGGGCTTGGCATCTTGGATGTGCAAAGACCAAATTACTCAGCACATTTTAATTTCTTTTTACTCCTTATTGAATGGTGACTGAGTTACAAATTTCTAACTTCTGCCTGAACCTCTGTATTCTCTACTGTGCAACACCAGTCAATAAGTCAAAGGAAGGTGTGAAATATATGTTATTTAACGTTCTTCCCACAGCCATAAGGAAACCAGATTTGACACAACACCATCAGCAGGAAGCAGAGTTTTACCAGAGATGCAGCAATTAGTTTGGGTGTATAAGGAGCAGACAAAAATATATGGTGCTTTTCAAATAAAGCCTGTGAACCTGTTTTGACAGCATTCATTCAGTTAAAAACCAAACCAAAACCAAAATTCCTCACTGGGAATAGCTGTGTTGGCCTGTACTAAAATCTCCTCTTACCATCAGTAGCTGTTATCCACAAAACAAACTTCTTAAGCTCGTTGATTCTTAATGGGATTACTGTCTTTAAACTGATTTGTCCTGTGGATGTATCCAATTCAAAGTATCCATCTTCATTGCCACCAGCTAAGATAAAGCTTATCTCTCCATTTATACCATCATCTGGATCATCAGCAGCAACCTGGAGAAAAAAAAGAAATATTTTACTGTAATTTCTTGTGCTTTTATCAAGTAACACAGAAATGCTTCTTCTTGTGCAGTTTGCAGAGCAAAGCATTCAGGTAAGCAGATCATTAGGAAGTGGTTGTGGGGCTTTTTTCCTCTCATTTATAGCAAATAATAGGTCTGGATAATTATATATATATTATATATATATATACATATATATATAATTAGCAAAATATAGCCACAACAAAATTCAGTTACACCCTTGACTGACTGTCATTTTCTTATAGAAACTATTTCCTATGGAATTCCTGGGTTAAACCTCAGTAAGAATGTTTGCCTTTTGATGCACAAACATCATCATTCCAGCATCCATCATTCCTGTGGAACTCATGTGAATGACACCAAGTTTGTATGTCAGAAACCTTGTTTCATAGAAATTCCAAAGTCACCAGAGGCAGATGGTTCAAGAGATTTCATCAGGAGCCATTAAATTGGCACATTTGGGTACGAGCATTGATTGTGACTCCTGTATATCTCAGCTCCTATTTCCAGTGTTATTTGGTTAACTCATTTACTATGTTAGAAAAAGTACATTGTATATAAAAATGATCCACAATGCTTCAGCATTCATCAGCCTTTTAAAAAAAATTGTATCATTATTTCAATTCCTGGACTCTGAAACCACTGTTTTCATTAAACACCTTACGACAACTAAAATCTAGAATCTTATCTTATGTGTTATATTTGTGGTATTCAGGGTGTTGCACAGAATCTTAGATCAAGAATAAAAATCCCATATCATTTGTTCCCTGATCTGGGATCTGATTAGAGCATCCAGAACACTGTGAGTATGGAATGTCAACAGGTGTAAGCTTTGAAATGAAAGGTGGATTGTTTCTGAACTCAGAGGAGTTCAAAACAGATCCCCTTTTAGATAAAACTTCTGCACAGCTTTAACCAAGGACTCGTGCACGCTCATTTAAACTCAGAAATGTCATTTCTACTTAGTATTTCTAGTACCTGAAGAATGGCCATTCCTGGAGTCATGTTGAGGAAAAGCTCTTGTTCATATGGTGTGCCTCTGAAGGTCGGGCTGTTGTCATTCTCATCCAGCAGCAATATGTTGATTGGAGAGACCCGTGAGGTGCCGTGAGGTGGCAAATGGTCTCTGGCAGTGACCTGGAAAAACCATGTAGGGAAATCACTGCACTGTTCAAATGCATCTTCCACGAGGAGCAGGAAGGATGAACAAGAATTACAAGCTGGGTGAACTGTGTCACTGGTGGTGTTTCCCTCCAGACAGCTTTGATGTGAAAGGCTGGATTCGATTCTTCAGTTCAGCTGAGGATCTGCACTAAGGAATCGGCCTCTTGCCAGCACAGATCAGGTCTCACCTGTTTGCCTTGGAAAGGAGGAGGTTTATTTTTAATACCTGTAGCTGAATAGATGGTATTCTCTCCCTATCCAAGAGCGTGGAGTTCCTCACAGTTAGGATCCCAGCTTGACTTAGCTGGAAGGGACTGTCATCTGGAGTGAGAGCAAACGTTCCCTGGAAGCCTCCCTGCAAACAGTAATGGTATTTGTTATAAAATAGGGCAATCCTTGAGCTTTCTTCTTATTTTCCACATGGAGAACATTGAATTTTCTGCTTTAATAGAGGTTACAGTTCCAAAAAGAGGGAGAGGAGCAAACAACATGGAAGAAATATAATATGCAGGCCAAGGACAACTTCGTGTCCACTTTGCACTCCTGCACTTTCAGATTTGTGACCATTTGCAAACCACAGGAGTTGCACAGAGAGACAAAATTTATTCTTTGGTTGCACGTACTCTACCCCCCAAAGAAGTAAAACTAAGTTTGCTTTGCTTAAGCAAAGACAGTCAGAAAAAGGCAATTCTATTTGCTGCACCTGTATAACACAAACACCTTTTTTATTACATTTCAGAAGGGCGGTATTTGTAGCAAACATAAAAACACTGGCTTTTTACCTCATCTTCGTCAGTAGCTGTGACTCGAAGAACTTCCATCCCATTTGGGAAATTTTCCAGAAGTGAGACATTGTAACTTGGTTGGGACAGCACTGGATCATGGTCATTCACATCTTCAATAGTCACCAGAACTACTGCGTCGGCTGTTTTGAAACTCTTGTCTCGCTGGGCTGCCTGGAGAACAGAGTTTACAGCTGTAAATTCCACATCTTGGTAACAACGAGCTGTTCTGGCTTAACACAAGGACATGACACAACTGACTGTTTTCAGTGAATGAATTTTCCTTTTATTTTTCTTTTATTTTAAATGGCAGGATGGAGCCTTGATGCTCTTTAACATCACTGTGAGAAATGCTGTTAACAGCAGGTTGGATTTACATATTACGTTATGAAATTGAGATTCAGAGTTAACACACTAAAGCAATCACTACCTGAATGGCCACCACAAGAGAGGGACATTTTTCTCTGTCAATGGCAGTCTCTACTTTCAACTCTCCAGTGCTTGCATCGATGGAGAAGTTGTTGTTATAGGCTGGGGGGTTCACTGAAAAGCAACAAATTTCAGAGGGTTAATGAGAATGAACCAGAACAGTAAATCTGCTCTGTCATTTAAATGAGTGTTATATTCTCAGCCATGGCAAAAAATGACCAGGTATTCCAGATAAAAGGCTTTTTTTCCCCAAGGACTCCATCCTCAAAACAATTCCTAGGAAATTCATTCACACTTCAAGGTCCCAAATTAAGCATTTCATGAGCTTTTGGCAATTCCTTCAAGAGGAGGTAAAGCTCCTGATGGAATTGATCTCTCTAGGTGGTCCTGAATGGAAATTCTTTGCTCAAATTGAAGCCTCTAAACTGACTTACACTCAGAATCAGGAATTGTTTATTGGAGGAAGGTCAAGAACACCTAAACACTTTAAAAATAGTTGGACCCTGCAGTAAAGGACTAAAATTAAACTGATTTAAGTGGAGCAGCACTGTGGTGAAGCTCTGTGCAGTTAAGACATCTAAAAGAACACTTCCTTATTCTCTTCAGGAATATTATCAATTAATGTGGCAATGTCTAGAAGGAAATGAAGGCTCTTACCTAGTTTGATGCTGTAAACTACTGTTTCATTTATGCCTCTGTCTCCATCTTGAGCCAATATGGCCTCTGGGAGAATAGTCAGAGCACCCTCCTAGAGAACATACATTGACTTGATTAACTTGAAGAAAAAATACACAAAGTTCACTTTTTTTCATTGGATAAGTCATAACTTTGATTAGAAAAAGAAGAAACATGCACTTAATGGGATCCAGAAAAAATTCTTTCTTTGCCATCCGTGCTTTCCAGAGGAAAACTATGACCAAAATGGTTACACTGTGTTTGAGAAACACCAGATTATGGAGCTGCAGTCACAGATGGAATTTATTTTAAGAATATTGAAAATTTCAGTTCTTTTCCTTTCCTCTCCTGGAAAACAACATGCAAGTCTATACTGCAGCCCTGAGAAAAAGAATAATTTACAAGATAAAAACATTTTAGAAGAGCTAAAATTATGCCTTCAGACAACTGAAGATGAACTTCTAACCAAAGGGACATCAAGGGTGTAACACTACAAGTATTTGTGGTTTAAAATATGTGAACATGAAGACAAAGAAATAGGGATACAGATAATTAACTATTTTAATTTTAGTGGATTACTCTGATAATACCATACTGTGATTTTTTTATTATAATACATCCAGAAACCTGAGCCAAACAAATACATTCCCCCAAGAAATTTCTACCCAATATAGAAAAAAAAATTACAATATAACATAAACCACAGATTACCACTCACATTCTTATTTTTGCTTCCCTGATTGTAATGCAGTGTGAAGGAATTACACTACTTAAAACTGAAAACAGGCAGCTAATTTCAGGACTGATGGACAGTCAGTTGTCCTTTCAAGTTTACAGCAAAAGCTCTCTTAGAACAGGTATTTGGGAGGTTTGCCTTTTCTTTTCTTTTCTTTCCTCCAAACACAAAAGCATCCAGTGAAAAGCTTTTACCTGGTTTTCACTGATATTCCCATTGTACACAGATTGACTGAAATAGGGATTCAATGTATCATAATCTTCTACATTAATTATTAAGGATGCAGTGTCACTCTGGTTTCCAAATTGTTCCTGCATGCCAAGGGAAAGAAGAAAATAAGAAACACTGCAATGAAGGAGCCATATCTCAGTGGAAAATACAGCAGAATATTATTACATGTATTTTACAGGGTCTAAGAACTCTCACCCTGTCAGATTTTTCCATTTCTGAAAATCCAGTTCTAGGAATAAAACTATCAACGGGTAATTGTTCTTAGTTATTAATTTCCTATCAGGCAGGTGTTACACAGCAGTAGAACTTGGTAACAGTACATTTGCTGCAGCTGTACATTTGCTAGATATCACAATAACTGCAGCAAAACCATGGGGTTTTAGTTCTAACAGGAAATGAAGGCAAACACATATCCAAATCTCAAAAAAAAGGACCTGGTGAGATGCAGCAAAAGTATGATAGATCTGCCATAATGAATAGGTGAATACGTGTGAGAATAGTGGGGAATAAATATGTACAATATTTATACTTAGAGAAACACACACAGAAAGAAACTTGGGCTGGTATTTGAGAGGAAACTTAAACAGTGGCTCAAATATTAAGAACATGCTTCTTTGCAATAGAAGCCAAGATGCAGCCACAGCTTTTGGTTTGGGAACTCCAGAAGTTCTAAATTTGTAGAAACTGGGATGTTATAACAGAGAAACTATCCTTGTAGAACTATTGTGGGTCTCGTTCTTCTTTTATTTTGTACCATACCTTTGCTTGGACTGTTAAATTGAAAAGGTGGACCTTGTTGTAATCCAATGTTTTATTCACTATGACGCTTCCATCTCCTTGCCTTATATAAAAGTAATCTGAGTCCGGACCCTATTAAATGAATAAATCAAATATTTTATGTGATTAAAGATGAAATACATTTTCTTTTCTCTTTTTTCCCCCTTTATTGTTGGACTGTTTTTCATAAAGGACCACGAATCTCTCAACCACCACCACCACCACACATTCTATTGCCTCTCCTGTCAGTGCCAATAGAATTCCTACCTGATTTATCTCATCCTGTGGTCAACAACTAAAGCACATCAGAGGAATGGCACCAGTGTCCCTTCACCAGCTATGAAAGGGGCAGAGACAGCAAGCTCAGAGGTGAAGATTTCCACTGCAGATATCTAAAGTTAGTTGAAATAATCCTACTCCAGCTGGCTTCAGGACTGGAGATGAACAGCAAGCCAAATACAAACTTTAAAAAGAAGGGAAACTGCTTCACTCCTGCTTCTACAAAGGACCACTGAGTTCCTTAGCTGGAGCTGGAGAGTGCCACAAATCATTCAACAAATGTTAAGAAATAAGATTCAGGCCTCACCTGTGGTATAAACTCTAATTTTAAATGGCCTTTTGGCTTTTTGCAGGTTTTTAATCTCAACCACACAGCACGAGGGAGCACATGGGGATCGGGTCCCAGGCTGTGAATCTGTGAACTGCAAACTGGCCTTCTCAGATTCCAACCAACACAGGGCACTCACCGAGAGACTGTAAGTGAGGATGTTGAATTGTGGTGAAAAATCATCATCCTTTGCTTCCACTTTTATAACAGTGAAACTTATTTCAGCCACCTAGAGGAAATAAAGATCAGCAAACGCTCAGTCACGAGACCCTTTCGACATCCTTCCTAACTTGGGGCAGGGAAGTTGTGCCACCTCCTCAGCAAATCCCTTCCCATTGCCATTTTTATGGACTATTTCCCCTCTACCCTACACCCCCAGTTGGACAGGCAGCCCAGCCCTTCTTTTCCACATCCATGGTGTAGATAAGTCCCATAAAAGTGCAGGTAATGAACAGTGTGGTCACACTAGAACCTCCCCAAAAAGCAATTTGAAAATATCACAAGGAAAAAAGTATGAACATCTGCCATAACCCACCTCTGACACTGAAGCACTATAATCAGATTGTTGAAATTTTGGAGCATTGTCATTTAAGTCTTTTACTTCTACGTTCCGTTCATTCTCTATCAGAGCACCCTTTATGATGGAAGCAAAAAAGGTAGGTTAGAAATGACAACAGTGAGGCAGCACCCCTCTGCTAACATTTCATTTCATCCTATCAAATGAGAGCCTCAGAGACACCCCTTCGGTTCTACAAACTGTATTGAGAGAGTTAGACCACCATTACTAGTAATGGAGTTTGCAAAAGTATGCTAAAATTAACTTTTTAAAAATTCACCTGTGAACAAAACCACTCATTCCAATTGGCAGATTATAACAAATGATCTTCTACAAGGTACTCTGAACACTCTGCATCTTAACTTTAAACTAAATAGTATTTCAGAAAATGGTAAGTTGGCATTAAGCTTAGACCAAAAATACGGTGGGTAAAATGTGTTTTTTTACTTACTGTTCCAATCCTCTGGCAAACAATGGTATACCAGACAAATTCACTCTAAAAGTGAACAAAACAAGCAAATAAATAATATCATCTAGGAACTCATAACATGATTGTCAAAGATCATTTATGCCAAAATTATACAAAATTACTTCTAGTAGTTGAATCCTCAGATGGGCTGTACCAAAACACTCTGCTTCCAATATATAGTAAAGTAATTACAGAGCATTAATTTTAAGGTTTATTTGGCTGCATTCATCTACTGATGACACCCACCATCCCTGTACCTGACTGTTTGACTGTTCTCCCCAACACAAAGTTGACAGAGAACAGAAGAACATGTACAAAAAGCATAAAAACTGTTTTGATTCACTTGGAAAATATCCAAATGAGAAATGTGAAATGTAAAAGTCATAAATCCATTTTCATCCCTTACAAACGTGGATTGTAACGGTGGTTTTTACAACATGCCTGGTTCAATTCTGCCAAGTCCAGGGCTGCTCTGAAATGGCAGTGTCTAAAATATATAATAAATTGTCTCTAATTCCTCTGCAGTACCACATCATTTTCATATTTAGGGCAACTGCAGCCAGGAAAAACATCGATACTGCTTTCTAAATTCCTGGTAGTCCCACAAAACAAGGATGGCCTAGGAAGAAGGATCTTTCCTTTTGTGCATCAAGCAACAGAGGCCAATGGATTTATTCACATGTGAAGTTAAAGCTTGTATAAATACTCATATGACTAAGGCTTACCTTCTATCAAATTATATCTGCTCCATCTCCCTTAGATGAAATAATCCACATTACTGGGAGATGAGTTGAAAGACAAGTGACTCCTGTCCTAGCTGTGTATTTACAGCTATCATGACAACACATGATTAGGAAAGGACCTGTCTGACTGTCAGATGACAGACACTGAGACATTTAACAGATATTACTGAGAGGTAGATACTGAATTCTATTCTGACAAGTCACTTTTTTTGAAATACCAACTTCTGAGAGAACAAACTATTCGAATTCATTATCTTAGTGCTGCCTTTTTTTTTTTTCCACCTTTCAAGAAAACTTTTCTATTTAGGCTTTAAATGCGGTAAAAATAATACCTTGAGAGTCTCAACATCCAGTGCCTGGGAAGTCCTCACAGTTGCATTCCTAAATGCAGGATTATATTCCAGCTGCACATAGTTCAAGTGTTCAGGGAATATAGGTGATGTTAACTGTAAATTTACATTGGCTGGGATATCTGTGATCCATTCTATATCACCTGGAAGAGAAAGTGTAACAAATCAGGTTGCTTTATGGAAAACAAATCCATAGGTTTATTTCATATGTATTGAAACTGGTTACCTTTGGTTACATTTTATATTATTTTGGCATTTTTAAACGGTAAGATCTGTTAAAGTGCCCTTAAGTGCTCTGCACAAGGGCATTGATATGCTTTGAAAACCACAGAAACCCATTTTTTCCAATATATTTGCACAGCATGTCCAGAATTAAAAAGCTTGGCATCATTCACACCTAAATCTCCACCATTTTTTGAAAACACCTTCATGCTGTGAAACTGTCTTTTCACATCTACTGTGAAAAACGTAACCAAAGTGTGATCAAAGTCAGGGAATGTGGTCAAAATCAGCAAGAGGCCAGTCAGGGCTGCATGGGATGAGTTTCAGTATTTTTCAAACACAAGGGCATCTCACATCTCTTAGTTAAATCTGTCAAGCAGGTAGAATCCAGTGTGAATCCAGACTCAGGCTTGTGGTCGTTTCATTTTGATTTTGGGACAGAATGGTGAGTCTGTGGCCCTTCCTTTAATCTGTTCCTGTTTGTACACAACACAAACACAAAACTCTGCAACCTTTGAATCAGTTTTTACGTGATTTTCTACAACCACACATTTAGGAACTGATCTCTTGAAAATACAAAGACTTGTTATCTGTAATTATCAGGACTCCTGTTAGACTGACTCATCTCAGTAGTGAGTGCATTACTTGCTTGGTTAAACACCAAAGCTGTGTTTGAAAGTGTTTGAGATGTGTCTTTTTAAACCATCCAGTGCGGTGCTGCTGGCAATTTTACTAAATAAAGTTCCCTTACTCATGTGATCAACATATTTGTGTTTATGAAACCACGCTTAGCTTCTCCTGGAACACATTACCCGTATTCCAAACCCAGAATCCCCTCTCCCCTCCAAAGTCTTTCTTGAACATCCCAGATGTTTTCCATGATCTTCAGGAAACTTGCTAGCTGTGTTTCTTTCTTACTCCACTGGCTTTGTCCTCCATCACTACTAATTTAGGTTGGCAAGCCCTTTCTGTACCCGTTCCATCTCTAATCTCCACATAGAGTCTTGTGCTCTTGGTCTCCAAGTGCCTAAAAGGAATATGAGCTTGTCTTCTTCACCAGCAGGGAGTGTCTGGAATGCTGGCAGCTACCAAAGACACTGGACTTTAACTGTGTGTGAGAGGAAAGTCCTGTGAGCTGACAGTGAGCACAGAACCCCAGGGCTGTGTCCCAGGGGCACAGCGTTGGGTGGTATCACACTACTGTGCTGAAAGCGCTGCAAGAAAACATTCCAGGAAAACAAAATCTCTCTTTGCCTGACAGACTGTCTGGGCTGGATAGACTCAGACAAGAAGTAAAGCAGCTGCCTAGAAAACACTATTCCCTGCAGCAGAGAGAGCCCAACAAAAGGAAGTACTGGGACAAATGGCAGGTGGTTCTCCCTCTGGATTATTCACAGGTATGTCAGCAGGTTCACTCACACACACAGTGCCCACTAAGGGCCGGAGTTATTGCTCCCTGCTTAAAAATTAAATGGAATCAGGGTGAAAGGTAATTCTTTTTCTTTCTCTCTCCCTTCAAGAGTCAGAGACAGCAGCTACACTCTGACAGCTTCAACAGTGACTGGAAAAAACCACTGCTCTGGATTGTTCAGCCTGGAAAAGAGAAGGCTTCAGGGGGACCTAATTGCAGCCTTCCAGGACTAAAGGGAGCCTACAAGAAACATGGAGATGGACTTTGACAAGAGCATGGAGTGACAGGACAAGGGGGAATGGCTTCAAACTGAAAGAGATATTAGATATCAGGAAAAAATTCTTTACTCTGAGGGTGGTGATGACCTGGCACAGGTTGCCCAGAGAAGCTGTGTCTGCTCCATCCCTGGAAGTGTTCAGGGCCAGGTTGGATGGAGCTTTGAGCAACCTGGTGTAGTGGAAGGTGTTCCTGCCCATGGCAGGGGGTTGGAAGTGAATGAGCTTTAAGGTCCTTTCCAACCCAAACCATTTTATGACTCTCTGATCTTTCTGAAAGCCAGAAGAAATGCAGATTGCCTGTGGACAGTCAGCATGGGCCTGAAGCACGGTGTCATGAGATCCTAAGGGTTATGACATATCCCAAAGGGAAGCTTTGGCCACAACTTAATGCTTTGCCTTGTAAGACCACTGTATGTCCATTAGGGACATCAAATCCTGACTGGATAAGGTGAACTGAGAACGTTTTCTGTACTTGTTTCCTTTCCCATTGCCTGCTCTGTCTATTCAGACAACAAGATGCTTGGATCAGGGAATTTAGGGTTTGATATTTATTTATTCTACTAAGCAGTATGTCCATAGGCAGCCGCTGCATCCAGCCACGAAGACTGTTGTAAATCAATGAATAATACAGATTCATTTTAAAATACACTGGCTATGTGAAGCATTAAAGTACTGTGTGCATTTGGGAGCACATCAGACAATTCTAGGCTGGAATCCTGATTTTACCTGTGTAGCCATCCACAAAGCCTGTCAGCTGAAGTGTGGCGGGTGGCACATCACAGTTTATAGTTGTGGTTTCTAAAAAGAAACACAAAAGTCATGTATAAAGAACACAGAGGGACTACTGCCAGAAACAGTACAAGGTCAAAAAGTTTATGATCTGTAAAACCAGAAGCACAAGAGTTCAAATTAAGCTCAAAGACATTTATCATAAAATTGGAAGGGTTCAAAACAATGCATTGCATGGAGTAGGCAAATATTGGTGGCTTGGACCCAATCTAGGCCTGCCAAGAATGAGTCACTGCTCATTAGTGTCCTGCTGAAACACTTGTGGAAACCATAATCGAAACTGCTTCTGTACCTTGGCCTTGTAAATGTTTTCTGCTCCCAAGAAAACTGTCAACACAAAGCTACTCCCCACAGAAGAGTCAGCAGGAATCCAGGAGCTCAGGGTAAAGGCACGTTTGACAGATTTACCCGAAATTTCCTCTCCTTAAACTTTCAGAGAAGGTGGCACTTTGAGGATACAGGTTTTTAATGAGAAGTCGCTTTCTTAAGTGGTTAATTGTACCTCAGACACCTCTCTCTACATCTGCTCTGTGTGATAAAAGTGAGACTTTTTTTTTTTTTGTACACCTGCAAACTATAAACACAGAAATCCAGAAATCTGCCAGATTTTTTTCCCCTCCCCTGACTAGAATTCATTTTTGTGGTTTTAAGAATGTTCCCGCTCTTCTCCTTGCCATCCTTCCCATAGGTTCAAAGGGACAGGTGGTAAACAAAAAATGGGCTCTTTTTGCCTGGTTGGGTTGATTCCTTTGAATCTGTATCACTCTACAGGATCTCATTTAAAAGTGAGCAGTGCATAGATTTCTACAGAAGTAGCTGAATAAAACACCAGAGGATATTTCTACAGTCAGCAGCTGTATGGATCTAATGCTGGTTATGGGTCTAATTCACTGCCTCCATCTCTGAGTGTTGAAAAACCTGGGCCCTGGACTAATGAAAAAGATCAAAAAATTGGCAGTTTTCACTTTCTGGAAGCCTCAATACAATAAAGAAAACTTTTAATGGAGTTCCTCACCACTACAAATATCACACATAACAACGGTAAATACTCCAACTTGATTTAGCAGAATAGCAACAGCAGGGAATTCTACTGATCCCAACTTCAAAACTATCCATCCTCAGGCTCAACTTCAGCCTAGGTATTTTTTCTAAGGTCTGATGCAAATATATATAAAATAACTATATAAAATAATAATATAAAATAACCAAACCCCCAAAATTTCAAAGAAAAGAGCATGGTTTTCAACTTGTCAGCACTGAGCTCCTGAAAGCCCCCAGACCACTTCCATGGGTACCAAGATGGCTTGTTTAGACATTAGTTTATCAGGCAACAAATCAATATATTTCAGACTTTCTAGGATTGTGATTTGTATGGATTTAATACATTTAATTTTGTTCCATCTCAATAAAAGCAGTAAAATGCTCACAAAGAATAGGAGTACTTACTTTGTGCCTCAAGACAGGTGAAGGTAACCCAGCTGACCAAAGCAAAAACCAGAGCTCTAGAAAGCGCCATGAGCACTGCAGAAAAAATCTCCTCCTGAAGGCAAAACCAGATGGTTGTTTCTCATATAGAAAACTTGTAAAGAATCATCTCATTTGCCATATCATATGTTAGTTATCTCCTTAACAAATGCTTCACTGAGAGCAAAGGAAAAGACTGGAATAAGCCTTCGAGAGCAATCCACCAACTATATAATGTGCTTATCATTGGCAGCTTGGCAGATCAAAGTCCTTTTGGGCAATAAAATAAACCAATAAGGAAATGGACATTTTGTGCTGTAACACAAAAAGTGGCGAGTGTATTTTTATTCTAACATTTGAAATAGAGATGAGAATAAATTAGCAAACGTCCTGGTCAATATGAGAGAAAAACGTCCATTTTCCCTGGGAAAGAAAACCAGCATTGCTCCTTTTGATCTCATAGTGGTGGCAGAGTATCTTCCCATCACTCTGGTCCAGAAGGAATAAATACAGAATTCCTGCTGTGAAAATAGTAGTTACTATTTGATGTGAGGAAAGCAGACACCTCTGAAGTGTGCCCTAGTATTAAAACATTTCACTTCAATGTACCCAAAAGCAACCAACATTTTAAGCTTGTAGAGAACTTTCAAAGGCTACAAATGATTGAAACAAACTCCATGATGAGATGTGTCATTTGCAGGTAAATACACCTTCAACTGGAAGGAGGAGCTGATTACACAGCAAGGGAACTGCTGCCACACCAAGGTCTTCTCATGTTTGTGCCACGTTTTGTCACTGTGGATACTGAAGTAATTACTGGAGGTTGAATGAGAACACGAAATACAATAAAATTGCACGTAACAACTAAAAATAAAATTATCATTGTGTCCTAGCCTTGAATTATTGAAATGTGGGAGCAGTTCAAGAAGAAGCAATTAAAAATTTTTTAAAAGAAGTTCAACACGGGCACCATGTCTCTTGAACAAAGGCCCCATCCAGCCATGACTGTGCATTCAATGGTGTCAGTACTAGGTAATTTTCCTTCCTGGCCTGATCATTCCCTGTGTCCATGATGGCCAGGCCTTAGCAAGTTTATGTGGCAGGTCTGTGCACAAAATGCCTCCTGGGAAGAAGAGAGAGCCCTGATCTCATTCCCCAAACAGCACCACACCCCTCTGGGCCATCACAGCCAGGTCAGAGCCTGCATAAGCTGGTATTTATACCAAAGGTTCTTCTAGCAACCAACCCCCTTGACCACTGGGAATGTTCATGTGCTGGAAAGTCTTAATCCACTAATGAAGATCTACTTTTTGGATATTCCAAATGAGAGCAAAGGCAATGCAGCATCACTGTTCTCTAGGGCCTCCCAGAGCACTGGAAGCTCAGCGATGGGAAGGGGCCCAGGACCTCAGGGGAATAAAACTTCAGAAAGATCCCCCATGGGGTTTATCTGTGGGGGAGCAGCCCAGGAGCTGAAGGAGGAAGGTCACTCCTGTGCATAAACTCAGTGCAAGACTAAACACAAGTTAAAAGTTCACCCACAGGCAGGGGTAGAATGGGAACCACTGCTCGGATGCAGCACGACACTGTTACCCCGCTCTCTAGAAGCTGTTTCGCTGGGAGGGTCTTGGTCCAAGGCAAGAGCAGCACTTCCCATCAAATTAACATTCCAAGCCCGTGTGATTCCCAAAGTAGAGGAGTGCTGGGCAACTCTGTCAGCTGCTGATGGCTCCCTCAGCCTCCACCACCGTGATGCTCAAAGACAGAAGCTCAGGGACACAGCAATTCTGGGCAGTCACTTGGCCTCGAGCCTGGAAAAGCCTTTGGCTGGTTTTATTTATAGATATAACCAGGAGGGGACTCAGCAGTAAATCTATAATAAATAAATTGAACATGAGTGAAGCCTTCTTTACCTCCTAAAAGATGGACTCCATCTTGGAGGTCTTTTCCAACCTGAATGATTTCACAATTATTAAGAAATAAAGAAAAAAACTTCACATAATGGCTCAAGCACCTGATGCACAGGAGCAGTTTCCCAACCCCCAACACAGGTACACTCAGCAAGAACAGGGAACAATGACTTTTTAAAAAATTGATTCCCTTCTGGCAAAGAAAAGTGTGTTCTCAGTCACATCAAAACCACCCACGCTGTTCACACACTGGGGCAACCATATGTCCACATTTCTCCAAAACACATCTTTTGGACTCATTGCTGAATTCAAAATTCTGTCCCTTTCTCCAAGATTTCTAGGCATCCAGGGAACAGGCACAGCTCCAGAGGGCAGGGAGATATTTATACCCAGGTGGGACAGCAGAATGGACATTGCAGCCTTCCCAATACACCACCTGCACATATACAGGGCATCCACGTAGCAATTTCTAGAAACAGAATCACGGCAAATAATAATATTCATAGATTTAACAGACTGTTTAAACGGTGCAATCTGCACTGTGGCAGTGCAAGGCAGTGTTAAACATGTTTTTTTAAACATAGCTTAGTTTAATATTTTGCATACTTGGGTCATTTGGAGGGCAGCTCACTCATGAATTTTTAATCCAGCTTCAAAACTCGACGCAGATAAAAATTCTTTTAAGTTCATGTAGATTTGTAGTAGCTTTGCATTTAATGATATCCTGTTCTTCACAGATAAAAAGCCTGTACTGTGATGCTGCAATTTAATCACAAATACATATGGCATGATTGAGACATAACTCAGCTCTTAAAAGCATCTATAAAAAACTCACACACTTCTTAAATTAATAATGTTTATTTCCATTAAACCAAGACAAATTCTCAAAATTAACACAAGATAAAAATTCAAGGTGGTTGGCACGGGGGGGGAAAAAAAAAAGATAAACTGCACATCATGTATGTTATTTTATATGCTCAAGAATGTTTTTGAATAAAACAATACTGGCACGTAGAACTGGCACTTCCCCACAGAACAAAACCAGCAGAATTTTCCTTTCTCTTCTAGTCAGTAGTTCTATGAAAACTAAACACACACACACATGCAGCCTGCAACTTCCACAGCCAAGTTTACCATGGGAATTTGGAACACTCCTCTATATCAGAAGTCACAAAATTGTGGCAAAACACTTATTCTACTGCATTTTCATACCTGGTGGATTTTATAATACTTTCAACAAAAAACAATCAGTTTTCCAGTGTTTACTAAAAGTGCTTCAAACTGCATCAGTACTTGCAACCAGGCCTGGGGCATTCATAAAACCTGATTTAGTTGATACAGAATAAAGCACTCCTGCCCCAAATCAAAGCCACTGATATCCAATTTTGCCTGTTGGTTTCACTGGGCTCCCAATTTGCTACAGCATTGGACAAAACACACGAACAACACTGATTTTTAACTGGTTCAATAAAAATCTTCCCCCTTGAAAGCAGGATTTTCAAGTATTGCTATCCTAGTCTTCTAACACCCACTGAAAATCATCAGGAAACAAGACAAACAAAAAAAAAAGCCCAAATGGAGGGAAGTGCATTTAAACAACCTCCCTCTCCTTACCCCACCCCGCCCTCCCACCCAGGATCTCGCTGGCTTAATTCCAAACTCAATTTATTGTACAGCCATGAGCTGGAATAAGCTTTCCCTGAGTGCTCTTTCTACCTGTTTCAAAAAGTCAGAATGTGTTTCCTTGAATTCAGCCATTATTATTATTATTATTATTATTATTATTGCCACTTTCTTTGCTAATATGCAAGGTATTTTCTAGGCAAGTTATTTCATTTTGGTAGCCCTGGGTTTGACAAACTTGTATTCTATTGCTCCAAAGACAGAATTTGAAAGTGCACCTGACTTCTAAACGGTGTTATCCAGGCAGGTTTCAGAGAGTAACTAGACCCCAAAAAAAGACCTACATGCACAAACCTTTGTAATGAGACACCTCTGCTGCAAGATGCAGAATTAACAGTGGCATAGCATCCATAAAACTGCTCTGCATCCTAAGGTCTGGGTGTTGGAGGGGAACAAGACACTGTAAGGGGAGTCAGGAATGAGGATGAGTATTAATTCCAGACACAAGTAAAGCAAGTGGTTCCCATGCAAGATGCAAAAGCTGCATCACCAGGGCACTGATTTCAGCTTTGGAGGTCTGGTCCCTACCTGCTGCCCACATCCAGATGGATGGAGTTGTGTCATGTACAGAATGAAGCCTCAGAACTGCATCAAAATTTTGCTTCAACTAGTCTAAGTCACAGGTATTGTCATGAACTTTAAATGCAAATCCCCAGAAGACTGACCTAAAACGGACCATCAAACACCACACAACATAAATACACGAGGAGACTTGTGTTCATGCTGCTGAGTGCATTCAGAGCTCAGTAGTCTTGCTTTGTCCCTTTCAGTATTTCTGGCACACCAAAAGGCATATTTCTGTCTTCCCCCATAAATAAAGTTAGTCTGATAATTTAATTCTGCAGATTTATAAAATCTTTTCTATGCAACTTAACACAGTAGCCTTAAAAAAAAAAAAAAAGAAAAAAAAAGGCAATTCAATTTAAATTTAAGAAATAGGATATTTACAATTAAAATAAGTACAGACCTTATTGGATTTGCATTCATTTATGGCACAAAATAATTTACAAGGCTTAAAGTAATAAATAAGTCACTGGAAAGCTTTCAGAGATGTGCATTCTCCATGTCAAGAGTGCAGTGGAGTTTCAGGAAGCAGTAAGGAATTCTGGCTAAAGGGTGGTCATGACTCCTTATGTGGGACGGCCTTGACCAAAACGGGATTTTGACCTGGATTGAAAACACAAAAGAAGCGTATTTATATTTTTTTTACATTATTAATGTAGGAGTTTTTGATGTGTGGGGTTTTTTGGGGTTTGTTTTTGGAAGGAGGACAAAGAATAGGTTGAAAAATCTTGGCTAACACTTTTCCAGTTACCCATAACTCAGCAAAAAAATTATGTTGGAGCTGGAGTGAACTTCCCAACACAGAAGGCGCAAAGCAGTTCTTCCAGCACAGCCACAAGAGTTTCACTCTCTTAGCTCCAGTTTCATTTGACAAAGTGTGAAATAAGGCATGTTTTTCTTTAAACACCCACCACCACCTCCACCTGAAATCCATGTTTT